TAACTAAGTCTGGCGCGTACTCAGACACAACTGCCACTGATCAAAGCTGAAATGGGAGCTCGTCCTTTTCAAGAAACAATTTGCTAACCCTCTGTCTTCCAATAATCATCGACACCGACAACTTGTCAACCAACACCCCTCTACTTTTCTCCACTCTGATCTTTCAACCGTCGCACAACACATACTTACCCCCCACGAATTATCACAAACAACAGGGTCAGACCAATCGCCAATCCTCACAGGGGCATCATGAGCAGAAACCGGCGTCTCAGCAGAGCATAGACACCCCCACGCGCGCCACGCATCTCCTAATGATCTACCTCGGCGGAGAACAGTACTTTGCTACAAGCAGCACACATTAAATTTAACATACATTCTTTCCACTTTGAGTGGCACCTCTGGAGTCTCTCCTCATGGCTCGCCCGTTTCACCCCACAGCAAAGCACGAGCTCTCAGAGATACCGGCTACATGTCAATCCCACACGCTGCTCCACCCCGATGTGGCGAACCCAGCTTGAGCTGTGCGCAGCAGGACTCAAGACACAGGTACTGAGGCAATAAATAAAATATGCACAGGCAATGAGACATTAATGAATTCCCAGGATGTGTTCTTCAATGTCACACAGCTCAGAGTGTCCTATAATGTGTACAAAGCAGTTTATGCTATAGCACATGCCCTTCATCAGCTGGTATTCTGCCAACCAGTTGGAGAAAAAACAGTGAGGCCATGTTTGAATATATCTGAAATTCAGCCCAAACAGGTGAGAAATAGTAAAAGAAAATCCCCAATGAAAGTTTTCATGTTAATATAAATTCCTATAAATATCTAACAAACAATCTGTCTCATTTTTCAGGTCACTGATCATCTACAGAGGGTGAATTTTAGGAATCAGTTTGGGGATAATGTGTTTTTTGATGTCAATGGTGATCCTCCTGCTTCTTATGATATTATAAACTGGCAGCTGATAGATGGGCAGGTACAGCATGTCACGCTGGGCCATTTTGCCTCTGCTGCTAACGGTGATCATAAGCTCAGCATCAAGGAGGAAGACATTGTGTGGAGGACAGGGAAAATGGTAATCGTGAAGACTTTTTCCATACAATAAGCTTATAGGTTTTTGAATAGGAATGCACAATGTTCGATATGCCGATATTTTCCAGCTCATTTTGGCACATATTTTTTCAACCTGATTAAAGAGAACATCAAGTCTTTCCTACAGTAGAATTGACATAATATTATCCCTAATCTTATCATAAGTAGGGTTGGCTTGGATGACGCTCTCCCTGAGACAATCATGACATCAACCACGGCATATTTGATTTGATTTCACAGGTTGCAAAAGAAGTACATAAATGTCTGTCTACAGGGATCCTGTTAGTGTATTTTTCAGCTCTACAGCAATTAAAGCCAACTGAAAGAATATTGATAGACATATTGTAATCTTTTTCACACAGTTGAATAAGTGGGTCTAAATTAGTAGGCTACATATGCTTTACAGACTGCTGCATAAGCTCAATGATATATCAACTGAACAAATGAATTCAAAAAAGGACCATAGCTTGCAACTCAGGAAAGGTCAAATGTGAAAAATAAAACATGTTAAGCTGTGTAGCTCAATATAGTCCACCAGTCCTGACATCTTCAACAAAGGAAAACAGCTGACTGTCCAGAGCAATACACTCTGCTGACATATGTTTTTTGCTGGTGCCTGTTTTTCTTTGTTCTTCACAAATTCAGTGTAATGATCAGGATGACAGATCTTAAGATGGTTAATTAAATATGTAGTACCTAAGGGAATGACCAACACTGAGCAATGATTGCAAATAGCAACTTTGCTATTTGTTTCAGAAACTTACCCCCACCTTTTACACTCACACACGTCATCTTTGGCTTGTGCACCCTCACACTGGATGACATAGTGTCAAGCATATCCCCTAGTTAATGGCATAATTTAATGTTTCTCTTATTGGCCGTTACCAATGTCTTTCTGATATTATTGTGCATCCCTAATTTTTTAACATGTTTTTGTCTTTTGCTGAAACATAGATCAACTGAATATAGCTGTACTATTGTTACATTTCTCTCAGGTTCCGACATCGCTGTGCTCTAATGTTTGTCCAATAGGAACCAGAAAAGCTCAAATAAAGGGAAGACCCACCTGCTGTTTTGACTGTATCCCATGTACTGATGGAACTATAGCCAACTTAACAGGTATCCATTATAAACAAACTTGTAAGCAAACATACATCATATATCATATCATTTAGTCTTTGGATAATATGTTTCAAAATATTATTGTTAATGTTAATGTCCCATGTTCATTTTTCATTGTTTAGCATTTTTTTGCTTACATATCATTGAACTTTCTGCAAATATAACATACAGGTCAAGTCAAGTCCAGTCAGTTGTATTTAGCCCAGTATCACAAATCACAAATTTGCCTCAAGGGGCAGGCACTGAACTGATCCTCTCCGTTTATGGTCAACAGGTACAGCCGACTGCACACCCTGTCCACAGGAATACTGGTCCAATGAAAGGAAAGACGAGTGCATTCCTAGAACCACTGAGTTCCTGACATATCACGAGCCGATGGGAATAGCTCTCACAGTTGTATCCCTGCTAGGGGCTTCCCTGTCGCTAGCCACAATGATGATTTTCATCCATTACAGAGAAACTCCTGTGATAAAGGCCAGCAACTCTGAGCTGAGCTGTTTCTTGTTATTTTCTCTTTTTTTGTGTTTTCTCTGTCCCCTCACGTTCATCGGCAGACCCACTGTCTGGACATGCATGCTGCGCCACACAGCTTTTGGTGTGACATTTGCACTTTGTATTTCCTGTGTCCTGGGAAAAACTATTGTTGTTGTTACAGCTTTTAAAGCCACACTTCCTGGAAGCAAAGTTGCAGGAAAGTTTGGTCCTGCACAGCAAAGGATCATAGTATGCTCCTGCACTTTGATTCAGATAATAATATGTGTGTTGTGGCTTAAATTAAACCCACCGTTCCCAGACATGGTTTTCAAATACAACAATAAAAAGATCATTTTAGAATGTAATACTGGTTCCGAGGCTGCTTTCTATGCAGTACTGGGGTACATAGGGCTCCTTGCTTTAATATGTTTGGTCCTGGCCTTTCTAGCAAGAAAGTTGCCTGATAATTTTAATGAAGCCAAGTTTATCACATTCAGCATGCTGATATTCTGTGCTGTCTGGATTACCTTCATTCCAGCATATGTCAGCTCTCCTGGAAAGTTCACTGTAGCTGTGGAAATATTTGCAATATTATCTTCAGCATTTGGCTTATTATTTAGCATTTTTGCACCTAAATGTTATATAATATTGATCAAGCCAGAAAAAAATACCAAAAAACATGTCATGGGAAAAACTGTAAACACATCATGATATTTCCATAATTTTAAAAGATAATGCTGCTGTTACTTTAATTTTCTATATAATTTACTGTAGAAACAGTAATAAAGCAAGATGTTGTAGCATTTATATAATATAGAGTTACATCTACAAGTCAGTTATTTGATTTATAAATATTCTATTCAAAATACTACCTTAAAAAATGTACAAGTTGTGTAGGAGAAAACCATGGATGGAAATGATTTCTTGATATATTTGAATTAGCATAAATCATAACATGATTTTATTTGTAAAGTATATAATGCATTTAACCTTTATAAAAATCATTAATAATTTACCATTATTACATACAACATTGTTCCATTTGGTGATCTTATAATGTTTGTGTTTTATTTCCCAACATAGTTAATTAATAAAACTTAACGTTTTTCTCCAAAATAAAACACCATTTCTCTCTTCACTTGAATATATTTTAAAGTTTTCTATATCAACAATTTCCCAATCAAACAAAAGACTTAAATAAATAAGTCAATAAAATAAATAAATAAATAAATAATAAATAACATTTATCAAAAATAATAATATTAATAATAAATCTGTCTCTGTCTCTGGATCCTGGATCTTTATTATTTTGTTTTTATTATTTGGTGTATTTAATCCACTTTAAACTTAGAATAATACATACAACGTTTTAACCATGGATGAGCTGCATCAGCAGAGTGTTTTTGAGATTGGACAGGCCTTATTCCTTATGAGTAAATGGTAAATGGTAAATGGACCTGTACTTGTATAGCGCCTTTCTAGTGAGTGGGTTGCAGCGTCCTTTATTTTCTCCTTCATGGATAATATCACTTTACTTAATATTCTACAGTTGGCGATATGATATACTGAATAAAGCTATATACAATAAGAATTTAAACTTCATCCTACCAACTATGGTACCACCAGACCCCAGAATTATACTTTTTGTCACATCTCAAAGGTGCTTTTCTATTATTATAATACATTTTTCACAACTTTTGTTTCTTACAATAGTTTATTTTTCAGGTCCCCGGGGACCCCATGGGTAGTCCTTGTATGTTAAATATATTATTAGGAATTGATTGTGTACAGTTTCAACTATTTCATTGTAACATACTATTAACAGTTGCAGCATTTTCAAGTGAGAAATGCGTAAGTTAGCATTGGGGCAACAGTATTTCAACAATGTTTGCATTTTCAGCATGAATCTTTAATATGACAACAAGATATTTAATTACAATAGCTTTCATGTAGATTATTTATCAACAAATGTAATGTACTGTCATTTTCATCTTTTGATCATGTT